GAAATATTGTAGCTGGCCATAAATTATGCCAAGCATTTTTTAACGTATCTGGAGACACATCCTCTCACGATCTTGCAATGTGTCATCATCAACACTCAGCAGATTTTATGCTAAAAAATTTCAAAAAGTCTTGAATGGTCATGCTATTGTTCAAGAAATTTAACATAGATTTTAAAAATGCTACTTTATATTTGCATTTCAGTGTGTGCACTATTCCCATATCCATAGGCTGAATGATAGACGTACAATTTGGAGGGAAAAGTAATACAAATACGTTATCTTTCACTAAAACTTTAAGTGAAGTATGCGCCAAACAGTTGGCAACAATCAGGACTATTTTTGAGTCATCAGGTAAACCAACCGAATTCAAATGTCACTGAGCCTCGAGTATAAAAGGATTTTCAAACCAAGCATTCATCAACGCTTGTGTCATCCTTGCTCGTTTATTTGTGTGATATATAACGGGGAAAATTGTTACCCCTTTAAATGCTCGAGGTCGTGCATGTTTTCCGATTACGAAAAGTTTGCACTTATGCGTTCCTGCAGCATTTGCACATGCTAAAATTTTTAGTCTCGCTTTGGAATTTTTGATACCAGTTGGAGCCTTTTCTGTAGAGGTTGCCAAGGTATTTCACGGTACATATTGCCAGAAAAGACCAGTTTCATCAGCATTGTAAATTTGTTCTGGAGGTAATTGTTCACTAGTAATGAGTTCAATGAATTCATCTTCAGATTGTTCAGCAGCTTCAGTACAAGCTGAAGCTTTTTCACCTGGAATTTTTAATTGTCTTATACCATGGCGATTTTTAAATTTGATTAACCAATCTGTTGAATATGTGCACTCAGTGTTTAAGTTCATTTCTTCATTAAATATTTTGGCTTGAGCCATTAGTATTGGACCCGTTAATGGTACACCCTCGCTGTGAGGCTGTCTGCCCCATTCAATCATCACATTGTCATGATCGTCACTTTTAGCATAACAGACCCTTTTTCTGTTACTCATTGCAAGTGGGGTGTCAGAATCCACAAAAAATTCAAAAAGTTCCTTTTTCTTTTTGCTTATGTTACATACAGTTTGACTTTCCAATGTCATACTCGCATAATTTTGAGACGAATATGCCTTTATCTATTTTTTGCAGCAATTCCACTTTTTGTTTGATGGACATCGAAACATGCTTTCGCTTTGTAGATCCTTTGGCAGCTCCAGAATTGGAAACTGTTTTTGACATAATCCAAAGTTCAAGCTTAATTTTTATAAAATTGCTCTAACAGTCTGCAAATGGTAATAAGCCGGATCCAATTAGGACGGGCGTCCCATATACGCATTCCCTAAGAACATCTCTTACAGCCGGGCGTCCCATCCACGCATCAGTAAAGATCGCATTCAAAGGACGGGTGATGCGTATACGCATTTTAAGGTGGAACTTTTTCTGAAGGCCACTAGATGGCATCCTGTGTCCATTACTTTTGAAATGAACACAGTTTTAGGTTCCTGACCTTGAGTTTGATATATTCTACTTGACTTTGGTATTTTACTCAACTGTTCGAGGGTGGGGTGGGGGCGTAGGTAAAGCGTAAACTGAGGTGGGCTTTTAAATCGCTGTGTGCTAATGAAAACATTGTCGTATCTGATTTATATCCAATTCCTTTTTTTATTCTATTTTTTCCTCTACTATGTACGGTCTTTTAGGGTTACTGTGTGGTGTTTTTTTACGTTTTGCATTGCCTTCAGATATATTTCCGTTCCTTCTTTTTTTATTTAGAAAAGCCTCACCTCCAGTCTATTATGGTGGGAAGGCGCTATTTATCAGAGGAAGAATACCCTAGTATGGTTAGTGAACCATTTACTAACGCAAATGAGAGTACTGATTGATTTTCTAAAAAGTTAAAAAGTGATACTTTTTCTAAGAGTTACAATGTAATAAATACTTCCCTGTGCTTCGAGATTTACCACACTCGTTTTCATTTTAAATTTTGTTACTTCTTACTGTAAATAGTCTTTATTGTGTTCTTTTTATTAATTTTAAACTTTATTGATAGATTTTATCAATTAAAACTTTGGAATAATTTGAATAGCGCTTCCGAAAATAATTTTTGAAGATAAGCAATTTTTTAAGAATATTTTCTTGTAAAATAAAGAAAAAATGTTTTAAGGGCTAATTTTAACATATATAAGAGCTCAAGTAATAATCTAAAATGATACCAAAAATTATGATGCTAGAAGCGAAACTATTGTTTTCTTGAATTTTGTTATAAAATTAGGCTTAGCGATGCAAAACCTCCGTCCTGTACGGTGACTGCCTTCGATTCTCTTCCGTCCCGCATGAGCGTCTTGAACAAAGGTGCGCTGTCATGAAAAGGTTAAGGAACAACGCAAACTGCAACATTAACTGAATTAGATAATTTTAGCCTAGCTTATACTGTCCATTATACATTAAATGCATAATGCGTGTACGCATGCGTAGAAAGTTTGTAGCTTTGAGGTCTGGATTATAGACGTCCGGATTAAAGACTTTGTACTGTATAACCTTTTAGATGAATAATGACTGATCAGCGATCCACTCATGATTGGTCTTCAAAATTTTTCTGATTATAGCAGGCGTAACAAAACTGGACATTTGTGATGGAAAACTCAAGACCTGTTGTCCTTTTTTCCATTTATTTTAAAATTAACATGAGCTTTCTTGGTTAATTAAAAAGTAACATTACAACATTATTACAGAAGGGAAAAGACCATCAGTTTTCCTCGCTGCATAATGCGTCTTACTCATCTTATGCAATTCTTAGGAAAGAGCCAGCGTTTTTGTTTTTCTTACTCGATTTAATATGTCATTACATATAATTGATCATTATATATAATGACCCAGGCATTATGTATTTACTTTACGTATAATGTATGTATTGGCGTGATCGGTAACGGATATTCCGCCAAGAGGGGGAATCACATTCTGGTCATCATGGCGGATACTGTTTTTCGATTTAGGAAAACAGGAAGTTTTCTAATATAAACCTGATGTTAGACAGGGTTTGAAGATGAAGAAGTTTTGGGACATGTGTTAGGGTTATATTCAGTTTCATTCTGTTAGCCATGGCTGAGACCTTATTAAAAACTTAAAATTTGTCCAAAATCACAGGACACTCCAGGTTTCCATCTAACTGGAAGACATTTTTGGAAAATTTACGTTGGCGGGAAAAGGTAATAAAGGTAGGAGAAGATCCGTTGTGTGTGCTAAAACCAAGTAAAAGCAAAAGCAAACAACACATTTTGAGTGCAAAATATACAATGTTTGTGTGTAGATCCTTGTTTTGAATTATTTCACACACAGCAGAATTTTTTAATTGGAATTTAATTACCTATAGGTAATTCTTGTTTTTTTTAATATTTTTTTAATCACGTATTTGTAATTTTTTTCATGTTTATAGTATTTATTTTTGTGTGTATAGTTATAATTTTAGTATTTTGCCTGTTTAATTTCTATTGTGATATTCTTTATATTATTACTCATTAAAAACAAGCACATTAAATACACAACTTCAAAAATTGAAGTCATAATATCAAAATGCTGATTTTATACGCCTTTTTTTCCTTGTAAAATTAGGCTTAACTGCTGAAAATGTGCGGACATTTCAGCGGGTCCGGTCTCATGACTGCGCTTCGTTCTCAGCATGCTGGTCCTTAAGCGGTTAAATGTTTTTTTAACAAAGCAATACTTTTAGTGTAATTTTCTTTCTTTATAGAAAATCATTTAATTCCATTTAGCAGAATTTCTCCTAACAAATATTTCAGGTCTGAAAATTTTTCAACATCAGATAATCTGTCACTTTCATGAATGGAATTTTTAAATTGCCTCCAGAAAACATGACACATGCTTAGTATCATCTTAACACTTTAATATATTCAATTTCATAAGCTATGATTGAGAAATAGTGTAGCTCTATTGCTAGAAGCATTTTCCAAATTATTAATTATGCTTAGACTTTTAAATACATAGAAACTTTTCCTTTCCATTTAATTATTTTTTCTGCTGATTCTTTACCTACTATTTCAGTTTTAAGTTTCTGCTTAATCAGAGACTCTATGCTAGTATTAATTTTTTTTAACTGAGCATTTATATCAAACAGTTGTTCATTTAAATCTTTTAATTCAAAAATTCAAGGAATGGTGATAGAGCAACTACTATAATTAATTGAATGAAATAAGTAATTTTAATAAAAATGTAGGAAACTAATTCTTGTTGAACATGAAAATTACTTTACTGTCCATCATTGAAATTTCCAGCTCTTGTCTTAAATATATTTCAGGTTTGCTGTAAAGTGGATGATGTATATAATGAATTTTGTTTAATATTTGGGATTAGTTTATTTTTCTGCAGTTTTAGTAAACTGTTGTGTAGCTAAAAAGTGAATGAAAAAATTGTTAATAATCTCCTTTCAACAAGCTTGTAGCAACAAGTGAATTCAGGTTGTTTTCCCCGACCATGCGAACAATGCAGAGTAAAATGTCATTATTATTCATTCTTCTCAGCATCTTCAGCATGGTTTAAATATCTGAAATTGTTTTCAGCCTCATTGGAAACTCAGTTTCTTCAGAAGTAAGATAGCTTATATCAGTATGACCCCAATTTAGCTTTTGTAAGGATCAGAGTAATGCTAGTCTTGTTTTGAATTTGTTGTACCCTCATTAAGATGGTATCTTTCAGGTGTTATATGGTTTTAATTGTCAAAGTAGTCAGTCAGCTGTTGATTTATTCTAGCAGCGGAATCGTAGTAAGGAATATTCACAGTCAAATAAATGAATGTATCAATATTTAGAATATTTTGAAGGGGTCGGAGGAAGTACCTCTGCTCAAAGCATACCCTGCCATTTGTTAGTTTCAAAATGAAGTGATATAAAAGTATCTCAATTTTGGTTTTTAGTTACAGTAGGAATTATGTTCTTAACTGTATTCAAAGTTTGCATTTTTACATATTGCAAATAATTCTTATGTGAATTTGAATAGGCAAAGGTTATTCAGTATCATCATTGGAGAGAAGGAAATCTTCCTGGAAACTCTAAATGTCAGCTTTGTAAGAAAACCTGCTGGTCATCTGAGTGCCTTGCAGGAATGCGATGTGAATGGTGTGGCATGACGGTAAGTATTTACATGTTTTGTTTTAAGAATAAACTAGCGGGCAAGCCCGCCAGCTGAGAAGCCCGCTTTTCATTGTTCAATGTTCATGAGTTTCCATTGTAATTTCGCTGTTATTCGAAAGTTGAACCGAACTACCAGTGTTCAGCAATTTTGAGCGGTCTGCGTCCGCTTTGTTCACCTATACATGGAGAAGATACTGCATAAATGATACACATGCGTAAAAGCAAGAAAACACCCATGGAGCCAGCCCGTTCGCCGGGATTGAAAGTTGGACCGAACTACCAGTGTTCATCGGTTTTGTGCTGGCTGCGCCCGCTTTATTCACATATGCATCCAGAAGACACTGCATACACGATACACATGCGGAAAATCACGAAAACACCCATGCAGCCAGCCCGCTCTCTCGGATTCGAAACATGAACCGAACTACCAGTGTTCAGCGGATTTGAGCGGGCTATGCCCGCTTTATTTACGTATCCATCTATTAGATACTGCATACACAATACACATGCCTAAAATCACAAAACACCCATGCAGCCAGCCCTTTCGCGGGTATTCGAAAGTTAGACCAAACTACCAGAGTTCAGCGCTTTCGCTCGGGCTGCGCCCGCTTTATTCACGTAGGCTTCCAGAAGATTCTGCATACAGGATACACATGTGTAAAATCACACAAAAACACCCATTATTCGCGTATACGTCCAGAAAATACTGCATACATGATAAATCACAAAAACACCCATGCAGCCAGCCCCGATCGCCTTTATTCGAAAGCTGGACCGAACTACCAGTGTTTAGCAGTTTGCGCGGGCTGCGCCCGCTTTATTTACGTATGCATCCACAATATACTGCATACACGTTACACATACGGAAGATTACGAAAGCACCTATGGAGCCAGCCCGTTCGCCGAAATTCGAAAATTGGACTGAACTACCAGTGTTCAGCGATTTTACAGCTCAGGCTTTTTGCCAAGTGTAATCGCAAAAATTTTCGGGTATTATATTCAAACAGTAGATTCGTTATTAAAATTCCTTTTGATAAACTTTAACATAATCACACACAAAGGTGCATCAATATATAATTAATGTAATTAATCAATCATAATTATTTATAATAAGAAAACTTTCCATATACCATATCCGAGCAACAGAAATTCAATTTAAAACCCTGAACGAAAAAAAATTTAATCAGAATTTAAATAAATAGTTTAATTATTATTTTTTGCAATTAAAATTTCTTAATTAAAATTTAATTTAATATTAGCTTTATGCGAACAGAGACATTATATTAATGCATTTATATATAATAACAAAAGCAGTGAATGATTACGTAGCTCAGTAACACAAATGAGCACGCTGATTTAAGCTATTAGACATATTAATTTGTATTACTCAAAGTTGCTTTTCTTATTCAGATCCAAAAATCACAAATTATTCGAAAAATGAACAAAAAATACGGATCTCGGCAACCGACAGTCCGATCGGCTCGCAATTTACAATCTTATAATTGCCAAATTTTGAAAAGAGGTTTGGTCTTTGTTCCAGACAGATTGGCAAATTAGAAGATTAATTAGCCATAATGAATAAAAATCCTCCACTACTTTAATTTCATCCCTGTGGAAACCATCTCCCCCTCTCCGACACCCCTGGCTTTCGAATCCAAGGCTGTCAACCAAGAGTTAGGAAGGGGAGATAAGGTAGTAGCGCTTTTTTAATGAATCTTCTAATTAGGCTCCTAATTAGCAAAACAGTTTACAACGAACACTAACCTTTATTTGAGCATCCGGGAAGTGCAAAATTCAAAATTTGAACGAAATCGGTTAATTCTTTCAAGAGTTACGTATTTTTGTGCATTTTTCCGGCTGAATTTCTCTAATTAAGAAAAATGCACAAAAAACACGTATCTCAGCAATCGACAGTCCGATCGGCTCGCAATTTACAATCCTCAAAACCCATGGCCTTCATTCCCAACCTGTCCACAAAGATATGGAAAGGAAAGAAAAAGGAGTATTAGGGCATTTTTAATTACCCCGTTAATTAAGCTCCTAATTCACAAATCAGTGTGGAATCAAGGCCATCAGTCGTTTTATCCCCTCGCGGGTTTAAAATTCAAAATTTCAAGGAAATCGGCCGGTAAGTTCCAGATTTACCGATTTTTTGGGCATTTTTGGGCTCAATTTCTCTAATTAAGAAAAATTAATATATTCGTAACCAATAATGCGATCGGCTCCAAATTTAGAAATGTTACAACTCATAGATAGTCAAATGAAGGATGCTTTTTGTTCTAGAGAGATTGGCAATTATTAATATTAATTAGCATAATGAATAAAAATTCTCCACTACGTTAATTTCGTCCCCCCGCTAATGGCCTTGACGATTCCAACTGGAAAACGGATACAGCTGCAACCCCTCAAAACCCGTCGCCTTCGAATCCCAGCCTGTCCACAAAGATATGGGAAGGAAAGAAAAAGGGGTATTAGGGCGTTTTTAATTACCCTGTTAATTAGGCTCCTAATTCGCAAATCAGTGCGGAATCAATTCCATCCGTCGTTTCATCATCTCGCGGGTTTAAAATTCAAAATTTCAAAGAAATCGGCCGGTAAGTTCCAGAGATACCGATTTTTTGTGCATTTTTCGGGCTAATTACCATCTTTGCTAATTAAAGTCGCACGAAGATGCGAATGGCCAAAATGGCGAGCCACGGACGTCCTGAATCCAACGGTATGTGAAGGCAATGCTTTTATGCATTGTATTTTTAACAGGAAATACTGTATTAATAATCTATTTCTATCTCCTGTTTGGCACAGCTTTTTCAGGAAACGCATTTAAAATAAATGTGCTTGATTGGTCTTTCAAAAAATGGCAGGTTAGTTTGACCCACACTGCATCAAAAGTTGTCAAAGTTTCACATGGTTCCAATTAAGAATTCCCTTCTTCCCCCCTTTGCTAATGTAGCAAGTGAGATTAGTTTTCCACACTTTGATGTTTTCAGAACACAATTGGTTGCCAGAGAGTTATTTTATCTGTTAGTTGGCTACATTACAGCTTTTTTATTATTGTATGTGCTACATATTAGCCTTTTCAGGATGTACTAAATACAGATTAGATAGCATGCATCATTAATGGAAAGTGTGTAAAATTTTTTAAGTTCTCAGTTTCTTTGAGGAATCACTTCGATAATGATTAAGTTAGTGGTTAAGAAAGTTATAATGTATTAATTTAGAAGTCAAACAACAAAAATCAGCATTATATTTGCTACTGGCACCATCTATTGATGAAACAAATAATTATGTTTTAGTTCTCGTTTCATCAATAGATGGTGCCAGTAGCTAAACTTTCGTCCAGCCATTCTTATCGAATCATTATATCTTATCTTGTTCATTTGCGTTTTGGCAGCTGAGGATGATGGTTCAGTAAAACCATCGAAACTAGTCCTGTAAAAATTTGTAAATATAAAGCTGATTTTGGTTGTTTGACTTCTATATTAATACTTGTTAGGCATGGTATTTTATCTTAATTAAAGTAATAATGGTTAAGAAGTTACATTGCAGGCGATTTCAATGTATTCAGCTTATGCACATAAATAGAGTGCTCCCATAAAATGCAAAAGGAAAATATTTTGTGAACATATTTTTAAGACACATAGTCAAAAGCAATGCTGTGCTAAGGGTTTTTACTAAAGATCAGTTATTGAAAAATCATAATCCTCAATAAGACAACGCATATGAAAGGTGAAAATCTTTACTTATGTTTGTTTAAGTTCTCGGAAAGACTATTCACTTTCAGAAGTGGTCATCATAAAGAGGTATTGGTTGTCATGGGATTTATTATATTTTGAATACAAAGATTTAATTTGAAAATTGATGATTACTTTTATGGTTAATACCCTCTGAATATCCTATCAAAACTGAATAAAGAGGGAAAGTCGAAGAAAACGTACTAAATAAATAACTTTTAATTTGATGGATGGCATATTAAACAATTAATAAAATACCGTTTGTCCCAGAAAGAGCATAAGGTCAGCAAAACAGATTATTTCTTAATTTTACTATTAATCACCGTGAAAAATTAAAATATATCCCTTTTGAATAATCATGTTTGTGTGGATGAGAACGTGTAGCTTAGATATACCTTTTATTGTAATTTTTTATCTTTTGAAAATATATCATCATGAAGAATATGGTAGACAAACGATTTCGCCCATAGTGTTGTGTTATTGCATCTGATAATTGTCCTGAACTGCCTTTAGATGTTTCTTGCACATACTCTAATGATCTCTTGAGTGAGGACTAGTTTTTTTTTGCGCTGCTTCAGCCTCCTTAGTTTTAACTTAGAATTACTGCATCAGTATATTTTTCTTTTTCGGGGAATTCCGCTTTTTTTAATGTCACCCAGCTGTTTCTGAGATCGATGCAGAACCGTTGAGAAAGCGTGACTGGCAAGTGTGTGTGTTTGGGGGGGCGGGTAAACGGAGAACATGCTCTCTCTCTTCCTCTTTTCTTAGGGGGGGGGAACTACATCATGCCAGAGATCGCAAATTGCGTTGTTTCACATCAGGGCGAAGTAGGTGGGGCTTAAGAGGAAAGATGGAACTAGATGCGTACAAATATCGAACATGGACCTTGTAAGAGATAGACTAACCCAGTGGGCAGGGCGCGCGTCACCAACATGTCCACAAGGAAGAGTAGGGACGATTTGGTTTACTTTAACGCTGAAACCTATGGCGTTTGTAATACATAACTGTTTTTAATTATTAAATGTGATACGTTGTATAGTGATGAGATTCTGAAAGTCACAGTTTTTTTCTAATAGAAAGCACTTTTTACTGCATTTCTTGCATTTTTTTCACGCGTAGTTCATGTACGAATATCTTTACTTTAGTAAAACGCAAAAAACTCTAAGCACAAAATTTATGAATTTAATTTTGTGTACATATAAAGTAAAATCAAATAAGATTGATAGTGAGCGATGCTTTGAAATGAATAAGGTACAAAACAAGATCT